ATATATATATATATATATATATATATATATATCTTCATAAGTTAACGATGCTCAAAGGAGCGAAAGCTTAAGAGGAAAAACAAAAAAGCTTTTTTAAACAAATTAGTATATTTCTATATAGTAAAAAGACGACTTTTCACATCGTTTGAAATATATTTATAAAAACCTGCTGAAAAAATAATTAAGGCCTTTCTTGGGAGATAAATACTACACTTCCACCTAAAAAGCAGCTTTATCTTGTTTTATAGAAATTTAACATTTAAATATATGGTAATTATATCATAGCTTGTTGTATTAAAATTTTCATCATATTAGTTTTTACAGATGACAGTAATCTAACATCTGAAAATAACTTAACTGATAAGCGCCTTTCATTTGCTTTTATTAAATTTCATTTTCATAAAATCTGCCTCTTCAGAATAAAATAAGCTTTGCCAGTTTTCACCAGCAGATGGCAGCAAACAGCTACTACACACTGAGAGCTGACAGCAGAGAAGCACAGAAGTCCTAATAGGAGGTGATTAGTATGATTTAATAGGATGTTTTCTTAATATTTAGTAATGAGAAACTACAGAATAAATTCCAGATTTAACTTCGTCTTGATATATAATGTGAGTTGGCTGAGTTTAGATTTTTTCCCCTCCCGTCTGGACATAATAAAACAGCCAGCGTGCACAGACTGTGTGATACATCACTGAAAACATCACATGCTTCCAAAATGTGCCCAAATGTTCACGAATTAATTAAGATTACAAGTTAATACCATGAGCAGAGAACAACAAATTAGATGCACAGCTCAGAAAAGCAGCTCACACGTTGCTCCTTTACATGAGGGGTGTGGGCGTAAAAAACAGAAAAATAATATAGTGCCAGCTCATGGGCCCCCTCTTCCCTCGCAAGGCCCCAGGACATATCAGTGTGAGTACAGCCTCTGCCTGTGCAGGGGGCCCGGCTCCCAGACAGATCAGTTAGATGTTTGCGTAGCTTGTCAGTCACAGAGATGGAAGACGCATCAATCCTCTCCTGGAAGGAGAAGCGTGCACATTCTGGCACAGAGGAGTCCTTCACCAACTGAAAGATGTGCTGGCAAAGCCTTCAGGGAGGAGGAGTAGGAGGAGGAAGCATGCAGAGTTGGACAAAATGCATTTTACTAATTTTTTTTGGTACTCTTTCACAAAGAGCATCAACTACAAAAAAGCGCCTTAATTTATTTCATAATGGTTGAGCTATTTTGTGTATAAACAACATAAAAAAAGACTTTGTGGCTTTTTTTGTTTCCCCAGTTAGGAATGTCGACAGGATGCTTTCATGTCTACGAGATACAAATCAATTCTCACTCTGGCAGCTTGTAGTTCCAGCATCCTCATGGCAGAGGTCAGAGCTCACCGCACGCCATCTCTGGAAACAAAAACTTTGCATATCTGGAAAAACAAACCGGGGGAAATGCCCGTCATCAGTTGCAAATTCCACATATTCTGGCCCAGATGACCAAAAATATAAAAGCACACATTCTCTGAACTCGTCACATATGAAATATTTCACACCTGCAACAACAACACCTGCAGCTTTCTGACGTTGCAAAACAAGAGGGAGACGAACCTGCCAAGTGGACCGGGCAGACTGACTGGGCTCCTCAACACATTCCTGATGGCTGATAGCAAACCGTGACATGAAACATTTCCACCGTCTGGAAACGAACTCCACGCTCCCTCAGTCTGCTGGAGGTCATTAACCAGATAGAGTCATCGCCGTCAGTCTGAGAGCGACGGCTGAAGGACATCCAAGCTGCATCCGTCAGGAGTTAGACCCTGATCACTAAGCTGCTCTTCATGACGTTAAAGAATTGTTTAAACCAGTTGGACCAACACAAAGAGGTGCATAACTGTGTAGAGGAATGTTTCCTAAATAAATGTTGGAAATCTGTATTTTGCATATATTCAGCCTCTTCAGTTGAAACTTCAATGAGAGCTGAAAGATTTTAGAGTCTTTTCTTTTTGGGAATCTTCAGGTTCCATTTTCTGCTTGGCTAAAAGGATCAGTCAAGTCGGATAGATGGGGTCTGGGAAGACTTGTGGCATATTTTAAGCCTTGAATCAGGTCAGGACTTGGACTAGACCATTGCTTACAACTGAAAATGCTTAAATCCAGAAAAGAAGT